GATCACCTGAACTCGGCAGGCCGAGGCTATGGTGGCTTTGAGCGTGCCACTGCACTCCAGCCTGGGCGACAGAGGGGGACGACTCAAAAAAAGAAAGAAAAAGAAAAAAGGAAGCACGCCTCTTACACACAAACACACACAGATACACACACGTTCCTCCGACCCTGGCTTCCCTCTCGTGACTCGCTCGGGCCAGGCAGCCACCCTTCCAGGGGCAGCCCCGCCCTGGGGTCGCCCCACCCTCTCCTAGGACCTGCCATAAATCCTGGCTCTGGGCGCACCGCCTTCTCTAGGCAGTGCAGCCTGCGCACTCTCGTAAGTAGACATCCTGCTTTTTTTCTTTTATAGATGAGTCAGTGCAGTAGTGGAGGGGGAGAGTAGAACGAGGAATTCAATCCGTAACTGGCAGTGAACACCTCTAGTGGTAACCTACTCCCTTCGCACCAGCCGACATCGTATTTTTTCTTCCTTTTTTCTCCCTCTTCCCCTCGTTCTTTCTTCCTGCCGAGCTTCCGGACTCCCCAGTTAAACGTGTGCGCGCGGCCCTCTCTCCCCTTATGCCAAATAACCTCGGGTGTCGCCCTCGGGGGAACTTGCGAGCGGGTGTCCCAACCCCCCCCCCCCCAACTTGCGGGTCCTTGGCGAGATCCGAGGAGCGCGCGGGAGGGAAGCGCAGGGCCTGCTCGAGCTCCCGGCACCCAGTCGCTGCCTGCACGGGAGGGGCTGGCCGGGGACTTGCGAGACTGCAGAACGGGGGGAGGTGGGAGAAAAAAGGCAAGCGTGAGGATTCAGGAGTGGGCGCGGGGCGGCGCGGGGCGGGCAAGGGCAGGGCAGCCCCGCGGGCCCCTCCTCGGGTGGGCGAGACTCTCCCGGGACTGCGCTGGTCTCTGCGTCAGGCCCTTTCCGGGGGGCGGGGGGGAGTGGGCACTGGACTTGTGGCGAGTTCAGAACTCCCAGCGCTGGCCTTTTGGGGAAAAGGGACAGGAATACACGGAATCGAAAAGGGCTGAACTCTTTAGAGCACAATGGTGGTTTCCAGAGGCCAGGAGGGAATGGGGAGGTGCTTCAGACGGGAGGAAAAAGTTTGAGATCTAGTGCACAGCCGGGTGACTACAGCCAGCAGTGTATTTCAGAATAACTAAGGGTATATTTCAGTGTCTCTCCATACAAGTGATATGTAAACGAGGTGATGGATATGGGAATCAGCTTATTCTAATAACAAAGACATTGGATTTTCTTACTGACTCTGGGAGTTATGCATGGGGTGAACTGAGGCAAGGAGAGCTTAAGTAACTATGAGTTATTCATTAAAAATAATATTAAGTTAAAAAAAGAAGAGGAGGAGGAGGAAGAAGGAACAGCCGGACTGCGGATTGGGCCGCCCCAACGGCTCCACTTGCAAGGCAGAAGTGTCCCCTCCCCCGGCACGGGTGGTGGTGGTTGGGGGGTGCGGGGTGAAATCGCGGCAGCAGCGGGCTGGGCAGGAGCGGATTTGCTCGAGGGCGCGGCTCGCACGCGATGGGAGGGGAGTTCAGTCCTAGCGGACCCTCCGGACTCGGGGGCTCAGAGTCGCTTTAATCGTCTTCCCTTGGTCTTGTGTGGCTGCAAGTTGAAAGTCAAGCGCTTCCCTGGGCCAAAGAAAATGCGCACCTGAAAGTGGCAGCGGCGCCTTAGAGCGCGTGAAACTGAAAGAGACGGGTGGATCTTTGTTTTTTGATGCTTTTCCTTAGGATTCGCTTGATGTGACGTGTGAAACTGGGGATATTTGCACGCCCGGGGAACTGTTCAGTGCCCTTGAGAAACTCTAACCTAGAGCTGGCTGGGAAGAATTTCGGTGTCTATTTCCCTCTTTTTCTTGCCTTGAGGTTTCTTGAAGCGTCAGTTTCCTCATCTATCCCCTGGCAGTGATAATAATGCCTGTCTTATAGGGAAGTTGTGAGGATAAAATGAAGTAATACATATGAAGTGCTTAGCACAGCACCCGAAACATAGTAAATACTAAATGTGATAGAGGTTTTGTTTATTTATTTATCTATTTATGTGTTTATTTATTTCGAGTTGGAGTCTCACTCCGTGGCCCAGGCTGGAGTGCAGTGGCACACTCACGGCCATCCCAGTGTCGACTTGCTAGGCTCCCGCGATCCTTCCGCCTCAGCCTTCCAAGTAGCTGGAACTACAGGCCTGCGTTACCACGCCCAGATAATTTTTTATTTGTCGTAGAGACTAGGCCTCGTCAAGTTGCCGGGGCTGGTCTCGAACTCCCAGGCTCAGGCAGTCCATTCGCCCCAGCCTCCCAAAGTGCTGGGATTGCAGGCTGAGCCACCGAGCCCAGCCCCTGGTTGATGTTTTGTGATGATCAGAGTAGTATGGTTGTGCTGTCTGGGCTCAGTGCAATGTCTAGGGAACAGTACGACTCCAGTCACTTCATGGCAGTTGACTACATGTTTACTGTGTTCTAGGAGTTCAGGATGGTTCATGCTAAGAGATGGACCCTGAAGAAGCACTTTGTAGGCAACCCTACTAATAGTGACTTTGAGTTGAAGACAGCCGAGCTCCCGCCCTTAAAAAATGGAGGTAAGTCATACTCAAAAGATTTCAGAGTTGGAAGGATCTGTGTCAGCTAGCCTTTGCAGCATAACAAACTACCCAAAGTTTAGTGACCTTAAACAATTATTTACTAGTTCACAATTCTTCGGCTTCGCGATTTGGGCCCGGTTAAGCTGGGTGGTTCTTAGGTCTCATCTGGGCTAAATGCTTAATGTCATGATTGGCCTCACTCACCTCTTGTGGTTAGCAGGCTTTCTGCTGAGGTACACATGCCTCAGTTCTCTTTGGTGTGGCCTTTCTAGCAGGCTAGTCTGAGCTCTGTTCTCATGATGGTCCCATAGATCTAGAGCAGCAGGAGTTGGTAAGCTCCAAAGTGCAAGCACTCTTCAAGCCTCTACTTGTATCATGAGGGCTAATATCCTGTGATCAAAGCGAATCAGATAGCCAAGCCCAAATTCAAGGGGAAGGAAATAGATTTCTCGATGGGAGCAGTGGCAAAGAGACCAGCATGCAGGGGTGGCTGGTATTTATGGCCATTTTGCAACCTGCCGCAGAGACCTTTTCAGGGTTCTCTGTGTGAAGCCTCGATGTCACATTGCAGGATCCCTCTGCCTTCATTGATAATTGAAACTCACGCTGGGATGCATTACTCTTCATGGCTTTGATCAGACCGTGGGGAGGATGTCCTCTCTGTCCTGGCGACTCTGATGATGACAGTGGCGTAGACCCTGTCTAGTAGCCAGGTACAGCGCTCAGACCATAAGGGGTGTTTATAGGTAGGTAAGCATTTGAGAAAAGGGGATGCAATCAAGTAGCATGGCAAAGTTTCAGTCCTATTTAAGCTGTGATGGCTACAACTCAGACTCAAAATTCCAGAAAATGCATGCATGATGGTCATTCAGCAAAATGCATATTCCTGAATACCAACTGGGGCTGATAACCCTGTGTGAGCACTGTAACACAGTGACTCATCTTTTGCAGGCAAAGATCTAACATCATGTGACCTTGGGCAAGTTACTTCACCTAAATATATGAAAAGAAAGGAAACAACATTTGTTGAGAACATCAAATGAAATAATCCATGTAAAGCATGGAGTGAATGCTGAGTAAATAGCATTATTATTATTACTATTAACTGGGCCAAATGTGAGAATCTTTCTTTTCTCTTCAGTAGAAGCTCAGATGAGAAGGCAACCCTGAAGCAGAAATATTATCTGTGATTATTTAGAATGTCAAAAACAATGAAGGCCCCAGGCCTTGAGTTTCTAATTGCCTATGGAATGCTTTATTTTGTAGAGGTCCTGCTTGAAGCTTTGTTCCTCACCGTGGATCCCTACATGAGGTATTCTTTTCCTCCTAATAATTTGCTGTGTGTTGGATGCTATTTTGAAGCAGTTTGCCTTTTGAAATATGCAACCAATTCAAAAACACTATGATTTTCCCACTGTTTCTCCCTTTAGTATAAGCGACTAGATTCATGAATGCCCATCTTTTGCAGGCAAAGGTCTAAGAAGCATGGTGAGGGATCACTTTGGTCCCTTTATTTTATAACCATTACCTATCTGCTCTGTACAGGGATGGAGTGTAGTGGCATGATCATAGCTTACTATAATAACCTTGAACTCCTGGGCTCAAGTAATTCTGTCAGCTTCCCTAGTAACTGGGACTACAGGTGTGCACCACCATGCCTAGCTAATAACTTGCCTTTCATTACTTACCCGAATTGCTTTTAGAAAAAAAAAGTAAGAGAAAAAAGAAGCCAAATCCCAATACCTATTTCACTACTGGCAAATAACTAGGGTAGAGGAAGATGCTAAGACTAAAATCAGCTTTTCTTGCATTCCACTTACCTGACTTAAATTTGAATACTCAGCAAAGAACTCAGGGAAGGGAGGGAATAAAAAGCCTTCATGGGGGCGGGTTCGGTGGCTCAGCCTGTAATCCCAGCACTTTGGGAGGCTGAGGAGAGTGGATTGCCACAGCCCAGCAGGTTAAGGCTGTGGTGGCTGGGAGCGTGCCACTGCATTCCAGTCTGGGCAACAGCGAGACTCCGAGACTCCAACTCAAAAAAAAAAAAAAAAAAAAGATCCTTCACGGGCCACTGTGTCCTCAGTAATATTTTTTCCTAAGCAAATAATATAGCCATCATTCTTTTAAATATTTTTTTCACAGTTTATTGAAAAATATTTAAATCTCAAGTGAAAAATACAGTTTTAAAATGTTAATTGGCATCCCTTTACTGTGTGGCTAATGTTTTGGGTACCCAGTGGTGCCTGGGTTGTATTTTTGAAGTCACTGGTAGAAACTTCATCTTCCTTTGTACACAGTGGTAAGACTCTCATGCTCATTCATGAAAAAAATAAATAAATAAAATTAAAAAAAAATAAATCCTGCTGGAGAGCTTCTGAACTATCTCTAATAGCTTTCCTCCTGCTTCTCACCCTGTTGTACTGCCCTCATCTATCTGGGCTTTATTGCCGCACACCCTGACCTGGTGGTTTTCCATTTGGCTTAAAACTTAAGAGAGTTTTCCCCAGACGCTTTGATGTATTAAGAATGGCTTCTTTTTTTTTTCTCCAGAGTGGCATCCAAAAGATTAAAGGAGGGTGATACAATGATGGGGCAGCAAGTGGCCAGGTAATTATTTCTGTTTGTTCCAGTGCTTTGAAAATATATCTCCTTTTTACCTCCTGCCGGGGCCCGTCTCTGTCCACTGCTCCCACAATTTCAGCATGTGCGGTTCACTCACTGATCTTGGAAGCAACTTGGGAAGTCCTGCCTTCTTCCTGACTAGTTGGGAGGCAGGGAAGGATATGAAGGATGTGAAATTGTCATCTTTCAGCCTCACTTTACCATCTTTACTTTTAATTACTTAAAAAAAAAAAAGCATTCCTCCAGTTCATGAATGTTGTAAAAATTCAAATAAAACAATGTTTTGGAGATGAAAGGTGCCCCCCTTCTATGAATCTTAAAGATAATTGTTGTTAATATATTATTATTTCAAAAATTGTTCAGTACACATACTTTTATATATTTAAAAAAAAGGGATTATATGCCCTTCAGCAAACTGCTTTTTCTCACTTAATAAGTTATGGATATCTTTTTTTAACAAGGTTATATATAAGTTATATGTAACCTTGTAATAGCTGCAAATTATTTCATCGTATTCCACCATTTAACAAATCTACTGATATAATAATTGTTTCTCGTATTTTCTACTACAAAATATTCTTTAAAGAACATATATGTATCCACGTGTGTGTGTCTCTGTATTCTTTGTCCACTTGGATGAATACTGCTTTACATTAAATTCTCAGAAGTACAAATTATAGGCCAAAGGAGGAGCATATTTTTAATTTGAAAAGATGACAGATTGATCTTCAAAAAATTGTATGAGTGTCCACTACCACCAACAGTATTAAATAACCTGTTTCTCTTATATTGTTTACCATCAGTCTTGGCAATCTGAGATGAATATGTTGATATTACTTTCTTTCTATTTTCTCCCCCCCCACTTTCTTTTTTTGAGTTGGGGGTTCACTCTGTTGCCCCGACTGGAGTACAATGGCACAATCCCAGCTCACTGCAGCCTCGACCTCCTAGGCTCAGGCGATCCTTCCACCTCAGCCTCCCAAGTAGCGCCCACTACCACATCTGGCTAATTTTGTTATTTTTTTGTGGAGACAGGTTCTCACTACATTGTCCAGGCTGCTTTCAAACTCCTGGGCTCAAGCAATCCTCCTGCCTTGGACACCCAGAATTCTGAGATTACAGGCATTAGCGACTGCACCCACCCAGAATATGCTGATATTTCGTGCTTAGTTTGGTTTGCATTTATTTTATTATTAGCAATGACCTTTTTAAAAAGTTAATTATCAATTTTCTTCTGAATCATCTATTTATGTCCTTTGCCCTTTTTCTTTCAGTGTTTTCATCTGTTATATTGATTTGTAAAAGCTTCTTGTATGTTTGGGATATTGGTGTTGCAGATATCTGGGTCTTTGTCTTCTGTGTCTAATCGTACTTTAAAATTTGTATGTGAGGCCGGGCTCGGTGGCTCAGTCTGTAATCTCAGCACTTTGGGAGACTGAGGTGAGTGGATTACTTGATCCCGCGGGTTCGAGACCCACTCAAGCAACTTGGCGAGACCTTGTCTCTACAATAAAGCAAAAACTAGCTGGGTGTGGTAGCGCACGCCTGTAGTTCTGGCTATTTGGAAGACTCAGGTGGAAGGATCGCCAGAGCCCAGCAGGTCGAGGCTGCGGTGGCCGGGAGCGTGCCACAGCACTCCAGTCTGGGCAACAGAGTGAGACTCCAACTCAAGAAAACAAAAAATAAAATAAAATAAGTAAATAAAATTTGTATGTGATAAAATTATATAAATATTTATAATTATGGCTTTCTGGTTTCATCTCAGGCTTAGAAAGGCTTTCTCCCTCCAAAATAACTAAAATATTTATTCAAGTTTTCTCTTGCATTATAGTTTAATTTTTTACATTTAAATTTTTGAGTGATTTAGTTTTTATGTTGGAATAAGGAGTGAGGTGTTTATGTCTAAATGACTAGGTAGTTACTATAACATCATTGGTTGAAATCTTATGTGGCTTTTTATTAGGCTTTCGATGACCTTGTAGATTAAGGTAGAAGAAAGACATCTTTACAGTCTTTCTCTCCAAGCACAAGGTATAACTCTCCATGTATCCATTTGGTCTTGTCCCATTAACAGTTTTCTTCCTATAGATCTTATGCATTTCTTGCTAATAATCAAATAAGTGGACATACATTTGTGTTAGCTGACTTGGCAAGCTTTTTTTGTTTTTTTTTTGAGTCAGTCGCACGCTCTCATCCAGACTGGAGTGCAGTGGCACAATCGTGGCCACCAAAGCCTCTACCTGCTGGGTGTGGGCTATTCTTCCTCCTCAGCCTTCCAAGTTCCAAGTAACTGGAACCACAGTCATGCACCACCATGCCTGGCCAATTTTTAAAATTTATTATAGAGATGAGGTCTTACCTAGTTGCCTAGGCTAGTCTCAAACCTCTGGGCTCGGGCAGTCCTCTGCCTCTGTCTCCCAAAGTGGTGGGATTATAGACGTGAACCTCTGCGCTCGGCCTTTTTAAAAAAACTATAATGCCCAGTGAGGGAGATGATGTGATGAACACTCATATGTTGATGGTGGAAGCAGAAGTTGGCACACCCTTCTGGAAAGGAATTTAGCAATATGCAGCAAGACTTACAAATGTTTCAGTGGTCTGACCTAGCAATTCCATTCATAGAAATATTGTCGAAGGAAGAAATATTCATATCTGTGAATATTAAAATGTAATTTATATTAGGAAAATACTGGAAATAGTCTAATCATGGGGGAACAATTAAATTCATCACAGCTTTTGAAGACTTCTTTCTAATGTGGATAAAAGTATAAATTATATAGAGCAATGTAATGTTTAGAGAAAAATTATATGTTACAAACATAAAATTGCTTCAATTATATAAATATTTATAATATACATGTTTAACTATGCCAATAAGATTGCAATAAAATACACCAGAATATTAGCAGCTGTTTTTGTGTTGTGGAATTGGAACTGATTTTTATTTTATATATTTTAACGTTTTAAAAATAAACATGTGTTGAAAGGTTGAGGTGAATGGATTGCCTGAGCCCAGTGGGTCAAGGCTGCGATGGCCATGAGCGTGCCACTGCTCTGCCTGGGAGACAGAGTGAGGCTCTGACTAAAAAAAAAAAAAAAAATATATATATATATATATATATACACACACACATATATATATTTGTATATGTTATATAACTTTGTGATCTAGGGAACAGAAATAGTAAAGAATGATAAAAGTGGGAGAAGATAAAGAAAAGGAGAAAAGAATCATCAAGTGAGACCCACAGGGACAGCTTAGAAGAGGAGGCAAAAAGCCTAGAGAGATCAGCATCCTGGAAATCAATAGGGGAAGAGTTTGGGGTGACCCCGTGTGAAATAGAGTAGAGAGGTAAAAATCAGATAATGATTAAAGGCACAGCGGCTCACGCCTGTAATCCCAGCACTTTGGGAGGCTGAGGCGGGAATTGCTTGAGCCCAGGAGTTTGAGAACAGCCTGGGCAGCCTAGAGAGACCTCGTCTCTACAAAAAAAAAAAGTCAAAAAAATTAGCCAGGTGTGGTGAGGTGTGCCTGCAGTCTCAGCTACTCAGGAGGCTCAGGATCACCTGAGCCCAGGAGATCAAGGCTGTTGTGTACCGTGATTGTGCCCTTGCACACTAGCCTGGTTGACACAGTGAGACTCCAACTCAAAACTAAGAAGACTATCCACTGGGTTTTGCAAACGGGAGGCTGTTGTGACCTTAGTGGAGTAGTGTGGGCAGAAGGCAGGTGGCAGTGGGTTTTCAAGTGAATGGGAAGTGAAGAAGTCTGTCTAAAAGGAAGAGGAAGGAGGGAAAGGGAGGGAATGGATGGGATGATAAAATGGCAGAGTTGAGCGTGTGTATGTGCTGAGTGAAAGGGGCAGTAGAGAGGAAAATGTTAAAGATTCAGGAGAGAGGAGGGTTAAGGGATAGAGGGACCCCTGGAGAAGGGGCTGGTGTCCAGGTCATCCTGAGCCAGAGGACGGAAGTCTCTTGTTTAAAGAGAAGGCGTGAGGACAGGGATGAATGTTTAGCCAGTTGAGAGTTCTTTGATGGCCCCTATGCCAATGGCTAAGAATGAAGATGGAGAGGCATGGTAGGGTATCGACCATGGAATATCAATGTCAGTGCTCCTTTGTCAACACTAATCCTACAGCATACTGACTCCCTTGAAAGGGAAGATATATCACATGTCTTAATGTGCTTTATCTTTCAGAGTTGTGGAAAGTAAAAACTCAGCCTTCCCAACAGGAACTATTGTAGTGGCTTCTTCAGGCTGGACAATGCACTTCATCTCTGATGGGAAAGATCTGGAAAAGCTGCCAACAGAGTGGCCAGATACAGTACCACTGTCTTTGGCTCTGGGGAACGTTGGCATGACAGGGTGAGCTTCATGGGTATATTTCATTTATTTGAATGTCTGACTCTCTGGTTTTGCAAAATGGTTTGTCCAGAACTTGGTCAACAAGAAAACACTTGAAGCCGGGCTCGGTGGCTCAGCCTGTAATCCCGTGCTTTGGGAGGCTGAGGGAGTGGATTGCCTGAGCCCGCGGGTTCGAGACCCGCCTGGGCAACTTGGCGAGACCTCATATCTACAATAAATCAAAAATGAGCCGGGTGTGGTAGTGTGCGCCTGTAGTTCCAGCTCCTTGGAAGGCTGAGGTGGAAGGATCGCCGGAGCCCAGCAGGTTGAGGCTGCTGTGACCGGGAGCAGCCACTGCACTCCAATCTGGGTGACAGAGTGAGACTCCACTCAAAAAAAAAAAAAAAAGAAAAAGAAAACACTTGAAGCGTTATGGGGGCTGATTAGAGCGTTACAGGGGCTGATTAGAGACTATGGTGGGACTGAGAAAGGAGGAAAGTCACCCTAAGTGTCTATCAGAGGGGGAGTGGATAAAGAAAATGTTGTACATATATACAGTGGAATACTATTAGGCCTTAAAAAAAGAAGAAGATCCTATCATTTGTGACAACGTGGATACGCTTGGAGAACATTATGGTAAGTGAAATAAGCCAGACACAGAAAGTCAGATACCACATGATCTCACTCATATGTGAATTCTAAAAGCGTTGAACGAATAGAAGGAGAGAGTAGGATGGGGTTGCCAGGGGCTGAGACACTAGGGGATTAGGGAGATGTTGGCCAAAGTCTATAAAATTCAGTTAGAAGGAGGAATAAATTCTAGAGATTTATTGTAGAACATGGTGACTATAGTTAACAATGTATTGTATACATAAGCGTTACTAAGAGAGTAGATTTTAAGCGTTCTCACTACAAAAGTGATAACTATGTGAGGTAGTGCCTATACTGTTAGCTTGATTTAGCCATTCCATGATGTATACTTATTTTATTTTATTTTATTTTTTTGAGTTGGAGCCTCACTCTGTCACGCATGCTGGAGTGCAGTGGCACGCTCACGGCCACTGCAACCTCGACCTGCTGAGCTCAGGCCATCCTTCCATCTCAACCTTCCAAGCAGCTGGAACAACAGGTGTGCGCCACCACACCCGACTAATTTTTTTAAATTTATTATAGAGCTGAGGTCTTACCATGTTGCTCAGGCTGGTCTCAAACCCCTGGACTCAGGCAATCCTCTCACCTTAGCCTCCCAAAATGCTGGGATTACAGGCTTGAGCCACCGTGACCGGCTGTATACCTATTTTAAAGCAACATGTTGTACTATAAATACATAATTTTTGTCAGTTAAAAAATAAAGAAATGAGTTAGCCTTGGGACTGAAGGAAGGCGGGGAGGAATCAGGTCAGAGACCCTCAGATACAAAGTGACAGTGAGAAGCAGCATGAGCATAGTCCCTCCCAAGCAGCTGGCAACAGGTGCACAAACGTACCAGCTCCTCCACTGCCTTTGGGGTACCTATAACTTTCCTAGCCTTTAATTCATTTATTTCCTTGCTCTAAGTTGTGTGATCTCTTTTTTTCTCTTCCTTTCTCCCTTCCTTTTCTTATACTTTGAAGGATTTCTAAAGAATGCAATGGAAATATATACATATATATATATATATATATATATATATATATATCCCAAATGTCACTCTCTAAGAAAAACAGCTCCCATATACCTCAAATTCAAATTCCACTCAGGATTTGGACTCCTCAAAATTGCCATTGCCAAGGACATCACTGTGAAGTTAGAGGATGTTTAATACCGTCTTCCATTCAATTAGTGGGCACTAAACAATGCCAGCACTTCCTGGTCTTTCTTGCCTGTGCTATCCCCTCTACTGTTGAGAGCTCCTCCTCCTCCTTTTGTTATCTGACCCACCCTTTCCTTTGGAAGGTGTAGGAGAGTGGAGGTGAAGGTAGACTTGAGGAAACCTCAAGCTGGTCATCTGTGACTTAATTGCAGACAAAGTAATTTGTAAAATAGTACAAGATTCTGATTCCTGAAAGAGAAGCTCATGTATTCATTTGTGTATTTTTATTTTTCTTTCTTTTTTTTTTTCTTTTTAAGACAGTGTCTTACTATGTTGCCCAGACTGGTCTCGAACTCCTGGCCTCAAGCAGTCTTCCCACCTCTGCTTCTAAAGTGCTGGGATTATGAGTGTGAGTCACCACACCCGGCCCATTTGTGTATATTTCTTTTCTTTTTTTGAGTTGGAGTCTCACTCTGTCGCCCAGACTGGAGTGCAATGGCGTGCTCACAGCCACCACGCAGCCTTGGCCTACTGGGCTCAGGCGATCCTTCCGCCTCAGCCTTCCAAGTAGCCTGAACTACAGGCACGTGCTACCACGCCCAGCTAATTTTTTTTATTTATTGTAGAGACGAGGTCTCACCATGTTGCCCAGGCTGGTCTCGAACCCGCGGGCTCAGGCAATCTTTCTGCCTCAGCATCCCAAAGTGCTGGGATTATAGGCTTGAACCACTGCGCCCAGGCTGTGTATATTTCTTATACATCTGCTCTAACCTTTAAGGAATGCATTTACTCCAGTCAACTCTCTACTAGTGACTCTCAGTGACTGAGAGGGAGGAGTTATACCTGCCTGTTTCTAAGAATCCTCAGACAACACATCATCCATTCTTTGAGACTTTCTGCCATTTTGAGTCACTGTCCAATGGGATGAGTCTTCATATTCTTTTTTTCTTAAGTGACAAGGTCTCCCTCTGTCACCCAGGTTGGAGTACAGTGGTGTGATCATAGCTCACTGTTACCTTGAACTCCTGGGCTCAAATTATCTTCCTGCCTTAGCCTCCCAAGTATCAGGTACTACAGATGCACGCCACCATGCCTAGTTGTTCAAGAATTTTTGTACCCGGTCAGGCTTGGTGGCTCAGCCTGTAATCCCAGCACTTTGGGAGGCTGAGGTGAGTGGGTTGCCTAAGCCTGCAGGTTTGAGACCTGCCCGGGCAACTTGGGGAGACCTTGTCTCTACAATAAATCAAAAATTAGCCAGGCTGGTAGCGCACGCCTGTAGTTCTGGCTACTTGGAAGGCTGAGGTGGTAGGATCGCCTGAGCCCAGCAGGTCCAGGCTGCGGTGGCCAGGAGTGTGCCACTGCACTCCAGTCTGGGCGACAGAGTGAGACAAAAAAAAATTAATTTTTGTAGAAACATAGTCTTGCTGTGTTGCCCAGGCTGGTCTCAAACTCCCGACTTCAAACAATCCTGCCTTGGCCTCCCAAAGTGTTGGGATTACAGGTGTGAGCCACTGCACCTGACCAAGTTAGGTCAACTTTCAAGAATGTTGGCACTTTTGCTATAAACTATAAAAGAAGTTAAATTTTGAAATACAGTGTCTTTTATCTGCCCAGATTCCATAGAGTTAACGTTCTCCCAGCCTTTCATCACTTCCTTCAGTTATGTTGAAGAGCTCGTGTGTTTTGCTCTCTTAACTGTTGATTCTATTAACTTCCCTTTAGTCTAAACTGCACTTTGACTTTTCCCTCTAGGATTTCTTTACTATTGGCTTCTTCATCTTCTCTCCATTTTAAAAGGAAGTAATGTTTGGCCATTTTGGGAGGCAAAGGTGAGAGGATTGCCTGAGCTCAGAGTTAGAGACCAGTTTGGGCAACTTGGCAAGACCTCATCTCTACAATAAATAAAAAAATTAGCCAGTCATGGTGGCGTGTGCCTATGGTTCCAGCTACTTGGAAGGCTGAGGCGGAAGGATCACCTGAACCCAGAAGGTGAGGCTGCAGTGGCCGTTGAGTGTGCCACTGCACTCCAGTGTAGGCGACAGAGTGAGACTCCAACTCAAAAAAAAAAAAGAAAGCTGACTCTGGAGACACCTAGAAGGTTTGTTGGGGGAGTGGGATACTGGTTTTCATGGGTGGAATAACAATCAGAAAATGCACCCTCTGCTTCTTTTTGGGGGTTAGATAAACTTGCCCAGAAAACTCTGGTACCAGCATTCATTAAGACAGTGGTTCTCAATTGTTAGCATTCATAATAATCACCTAGAGTCTCTTAAAATTTGGAATATTTCTGGCCAGGCACAGTGGCTCACACCTGTAATCCCAGCATTTTGGGAGGCCAGGCAAGAGAATCGCTTGAGCCCAGGAGTTATAGATCAGCCAGGACAACACTGTTAGACTTTGTCTACTCAGGAGGCTGAGGCAGGAGGCTGAAGCAGAAGGATCATTTGAGCCTGGGAAGTTGAGTGCCACTGCACTCCAGCCTGGGCAACCGAGTGAGATTCTGTCTCAAAAAATTAGAGTATTTCTAAATCAGTGAGTCTAGGTTTGGGCAGAGAATCTACATTTTTTTTTTTTGAGTTGGAGTCTCACTCTGTCACCCAGACTGGAGTGCAGTGGCCGCTCCCGGCCACCGCAGCCTCGATCTGG